GTAAGAATAAAAAGCGTATACTAGAATCACTAGGAAAACCCCCCTCCTCCACCCATTATTATTGACGCTGATGACGGTCAAACTGCATTTCCCATAGACTTATCATGGGGATTATGGTCGTAATAAGAAATAACAACTTTGTTTTTTCTATGGAAAATCCCAGTAAAAGTGGGCAAAAGTATTTCCGATGACGTAATGACGCTGTGTTTTCAGTCCCATGTTAAACCTATTGGAAAATTGTCGATAATGATGGTGCATGACAAGGGTAGCAAAAAGTACGACCAAAGTACACAAATACCCCATGTTAAGTCTATGGAGAAATTATTAAAATGGCTATAAATCCCATGTTAAACCCATGTTAATCCAGTGGGACAATTGGTTTAACTGACCCAATAACCCATGTTAATCCTATGGGAAAACTGGCTACAATGTGCTCAATATCCCTAAATAATCATAAGGGAAAATTAACTACAATGGGCTCAAAATCCCATGCTTATCCTATTTGGAAATTTATTCAAATGGCCCAAAACCAAATGCTAATCCTATGGGTAAATTTACTCAAATGGTCATAAATCTCATGCAAAATCCATCATAATCCAATGGAGAAAATTTGTTTAATTGACCCCAATGTCCCATGTTAATCCAATGGAGAAATTAAATAAAATAAGCTTAAAACCATATGCTAATCCTATGAGACATAGGTTCAAATGGCCCAAAATCTCATAATAAATCTATGGGTAAATTGTTTAACATATTGTAGTACCCACATGTTTAATACGGGGGTCCTCCATCCGAGACCCCAATTCTACCCGAATCCCGTAACACCATCCCTCCTATGGGCATCGAGACGGCCTACGGCACGACCCCAAGGCGGACGGCTATAACCGATATAACCTCACAGCAGTAGGCGATTATCCCTTTTAAGCATCTAGGCGGCATACGAGGCTATTAGCTCACCCATTTTGTCCATCTGTAGGCCCGGCAGTCTCCGATCCCAGCGGGTAACGCCCTAATCTGATGAGCTGCAGCTGGCAAAAGCGTACGTCACAGTGCACATCATTTACAATCCGAAACATAAACCTTGTTTTACCTAAAGCACAGCTGTTCAAATCAAGCAGTACTGAATAAATGAAAGTGCTATATAGCACTCTCATACCGAACCTCCGTAGGCGCATGCTATAACACGTAAGCAGCAGACCGCCTCTGCTGTACGGCGTCTATCGGTGCCCAGAAGCTACATCCTGGTAACACTAGATGGCACCGACATAGGCACGTGTAGTAGTGGTAAAATCGACAGCGCAGGGCTGGCTAAACGCCCTATCGACCCCAACATAAAACAACAATCGTTAATCATTTAAAAATAGAAACAGACAAACTAAAGTTATGTTCTTAACGATCTCAGCTTTAGCTCAATCTTGATCTGTAGCTTCACTTTTAAGATAAAGTTGGTTCCAGACATTTGCTTAAAACTATACATACAGTATAAGTCTCTTTAGAGCAACTCGTATTTGCCAGGATAATTTGTTGCCTATAAAGGAACTTGCTTATATGAGACCAAACATTTATTTTTTATTAATAATACATAAAATACAGTTTTAAAGCAAATAATCAGTGATTTTAGTTTGTTTAGCATTTAATTTCACTCTAAATATATTTGACTCTATTTTATCAATCATTTCGAGTGAATTCTCGACATCTCCTCCGGTTTGGTAGAGATATTTCTTAAGAGTCGACACAGCATTCATTGCATCCATAAGTTTGACCACTTCTTCATCGTCTTCGACAGTCTCGTCATCCGATTCGTCATCAATGGTAACCGAATCAATGATGGGTTCATTGCATTCATGCAATACCTCTCCTTCAGTGGTGATAATGTTATCATCTGCTATCACATAATCATCAAATGACAGGCCATTGATATTCAAGTTCTCAGTCAACACATTCCACTGAATATCTACTTCTTCTTCAATTGCATCAACCATTGAGTCCGCACTGAATCCACACTTAATGAAGCAATTCTTGATTGTGTCGGAACTCACTTCTTCCCAAGACTTCTTCAACATTAAGATCGCGTCGTATAATGTAATGTCATTAACAGAAACAGTATTCTTGCCATCAATTAGAGCCAATAGTTTGCGACACATATGAGTGCGATATTTGCTTTTAATGGCGTGAATGATACCCGCATCCATGGGTTGTGTCACACTTGTCGTCTTTGGTGGTAAAAACACGAGTTTAATGTGTTTCAGTTGAATGGGTGGATGTGATGGACAATTGTCTACAAATAGGGCTATTTTTCTGTTGGCTTTCCCCATCCGCACATCAAATCTCTTCAGAAACTTTACGAATAAATCAGATGTCATCCACGCTTTTGTGTTAGAGTTGTACACAACAGTAACTTTGTGTTTCCCACGAAAACACCTTGGTTCTTTTGACTTCCCGATTACTAGTAATTTAAGTTTTTCAGTTCCAGTTGTGTTAGAGCACACCAACACAGATATCCTCTCTTTGCTTTGTTTACCAGATTTATATTTCTGTCCTTTGATTCTCATTGTCTTATTCGGTAACAAACGCCAGAAGAGTCCAAATTCGTCGCCATTAAAGACATCTTCGGGTTTAAAGTCTTTGAGAATTTGTGGCAATTTGTTGTCAATCCAATCATTAGTAACAGTTTCTGATACACCTTCTGCTTCTCCGTGTATTCTTTGAAATTCAATTGAATTTCTACCTCTAAATCGAGATATGAATCTGTTATCTGATTTGAAGTCAGTAATGTTTAAGTCTTTGGCGATTTGAGCGGCACTTTCCTTTAATAATACCGTTCCGATTGGCACTCCATTTGCATTACCCTTTGAGATACAGTCAATCAATTTAGCGTCAATTTCGGGATGTTTTCCTTTTCTGAGTCTTTTGCGTTTCGCTGATGACATGCCTTCATATGCACTGATATATTGGTCTTTTGATTTAATTATCTTCGAGATGTTGAATGGCTTGAGATTTGGAAACTCATTGATAATCTCTTCGTACGACTTCTTCTTCTCAACCAATTTAATGACTCTATATTTGGTGTCCAAAGGTATTGCCTTTCGTGTGATTTTTGCAGACATCATGTATTATTTTAAGATATAATTTGAAATAACAGTCAAATGATGTCCTTCTTAAGACAAATGGATCTAAACGTGTCCACTGGTTATCACATGTCTGCCCACAAGTCCCACAAACACTAATCAATTTACAAACACATTGCAAACACAAGACATGTATACTTTGTTTGTAAAATAATGATTTTTACCACAAATTACTAATTGAAAAACTTTTGCAGTTTTAAATATTTTTATACAGTGTTGCCTATAAGAGCACTACATAATGTTATACAAGTGCTTTCAAAACTAGTAACTTATAAGAGACTTTTGCTTATAACGGACTTGCTTATAACAGACCCCATTACCATTGTATATCCATTGGAGCTGCCGGTGCTCTAATATTGGCTGACTTATAAAGGATTTTGCTTATAACAGCCTAACTCTTATCAGACTTATACTGTATTGTACTATATATTATATATAATAGAAATGAATTGAATTGGAAAATTATTTAACTTAAATGATTTAATTATGAAAAAATGATCATAGTAACTTAGTAATACAGAATATAATTTAACAATTCAGATAAAAATTGTTTACTTAATTATTTATATTAAAACACGTATGCTAAAATTAATTTAACAAAACATACTTTACTAAAAGTTTTTAAAAATAAACATACATGAATTTAAAATTAATGCTTATAAAAATAATATACAATTAATGTAATGCTACCGAGCACGGTTAGGGAGTTAGCTTTGAACATGGTGCTCGAGTTATAGCCATTGTCCTTGCACCAACGCCGTGAATATGAGTGTCCGACACATTTATCATTAACCTTTTTGCACGTCTCAATGTTGTCGAAATTCTTATCCACATCATCCCTGTCCGATTTGGGACAGACACCCTATTTAGTAAATAAGTGAATCAAATTAATAAGAATTGTTTACTTAGTAATTTTTATTTTGATTAGGTGTTTATAATTTTGCATTTCTGGAATTTTATACGTGATTGCTCTATGACCCTTGCTTAGAAATCACTGCTATAATGCACAATGCTATATAGTAATTTGTAAGAAGTATTTTCAAGTATTTTTGAGTTTAATTTTAAGTTTTCAATAATTTGACCCTGATCACTGTATACACTGTAGACATATGCACACTAACTATATTAAATATTTTGAATGATGCTATAATTAAATTTACAAAAATTAAATTTTTAATCAACAACTTACGTAATTGCTTTTGAGACAATCTGTTAATTGGTAGACACCCTTGCACATTTCCGCATCACTGGTATCCTTCATCGGGGTATCGACGCACTTATTTTTCGAAACTACAATAATTATACAAGTAATGTAGTCTTTCAAATTGTTCCCGTTAGAATTAGCGTTAGTGGCCAGGCTGATAATCGGATGTGTCGCCGCCGCATAAGCCGAGCATACTGCTGTTGCTAGCACAATTAATTTTTGAACGTAGGCCATTTTTTGTAAACTAGAGTGTTTAGTATGTAATTATACTGTCAAGTGTTTCGATACAGTTGTTTAACCTGAATGATGTCAGTTTTATAAGTATGCCTTACTTATAGTGATTTTTGATGCTTAATATTTTAGTTATAAAATTGTGTTTCAGTATATAATAGTAACCATGTTGCATATTAAGAATGTAATAGTTTTGATTTATCTTATCTGATCAAGGTTTACGATTTATTCGTTCAAACCATATTAGCAATTAATTTTTCCGGTGCAAAAACGTTGGATATGTGTTTTATGAGTATATATGAATTTTATATTTAGAATTAGAATTTTTATTTTAAATTTGATAATTATATATTTAATTTATAATTTGAAAATTATAGTGCATATATGATTAAAACATTTCATTTGTCTCTCATTGTACCGGTATAAAATTTCTAATATAGTAGAAAGAATATAATATAAAACTCAATGTCTTACAAAACAATATATTATATTTATTATCTATTATAAAGGTTTTGATTAGAAATGTCATAATGATAACAAAAGTCATAATTATTACCAATCGCCGTTGTAACAATTTATGTTACACAATAAACATAAAATAATGTACATGTGAATAAATCTAATAAGATATTTTTCTATCTAATATTATTATAATAATTATTTTTATAATTATTGCATGCCAATTAAATACGGAATTTACAATAAATTGGAAGTTTTTTACAATTTTAAGGTGTGTACTATTTTGCCAAAAAATATTATATTTAAAAAATTTATTTAAAAATATATATAAAGTCGTCTTGTTTTAATAAATATAAAATTATTTACAAAACACAAATACTTTATTATATAAAACATAATAAATCAAAATTGTATAAAGTAAAAATATTTCAAAGTTACAATTAATGTTATAACCATTATAATTATAACTATTATAATCATATAGCACACTCATTATTTCCAAATACGTCACTTAGGTTGTCAATAAAACAAATTAATTATTTTTCAGTAATAACTATAAACACTATGTCGGAAGATGCCCGAATATGACCAGATATTACTGAAATTATAAACTTAAACTAATATTTCAATATAATATTGAAATGTCCTGAAATTATTTATCTAACTTTAACCACTAATGACCTAGAGTGATTTTTATTTTCAAATTTCAAAACTAAATTCCTCAGTAACCACAAAAGATTTTTAAATTGT